TTTCTCCGGGTGCTCCGGTTTCCTCCCACAGACCAAAAACATGCATGTTAGGCTGATTGGTAACTCTAAATTGTCCCTAGGTGTGAGTGAGAGAGTGAATGGTTGTTTGTCTCGTTTGTCTCTATGTGGCCCTGTGATGGACTTGCGACCCATCCAGGGTGTACCCCGCCCTTCGCACAGTGATTGCTGGACATGGGCACCGGCGACCCCCGTGACCCAAAAATGGAATAAGCGGGTGAAGATAATTGATGGATGGATGGTTGTGGAGAATTGCATTCAGCGTGCCAATGAGATAAATGAGGATTTTGTTTTATCAGATTTTCCCATGCTTAATTGCCAAAGTTTCAGGCAAAACTGAAAAACCACACAGAATCACATATATATCACATTTTTACACTCACAAAAAAGAGACACTTAGGAATAATACTAGACTGAATAATTAAGTGGTTAATTCTCACTTTGACTCAGCTAGTAATATTCCCCGTGAGCCTCCTTCTATCAGTGGTCACTCATTTGACAGAGTGGGAGAGCCACTAATTATGGTTTCTCTGCTGCAAATGATGGCATTTGCGTTAAGTGCCCTGGTAATTTCTAAATCCTAATTTGAAGTGGAGTGCTTATTAAATTGTGTCAAATTTGATCTTTCTTTGTAATTAAAATGACATTTTGAGAAATTGTGTCTTTCTTTCCTTGTACCTGCATACAATAAGAGCTGATACAGGATAACTTTCCAGCCCAGTAGTACTAGTAAAATTCATAACACTGACTTCTTTTTTTTTTTTTTCTTTCCCAGGCTGAACAAGATAATGGTCACCCCCTCCCAGCCTTTGCTGACCTCATTATCGAAATCCTGGATGAAAACAACCAGGCACCTTATTTTCAGTTTGCCACCTATCAGGGCTACGTGAGTGAGGCTTCTCCAGTGGGTACAACTATTTCTGCCAGTGCCAACCTCACCAACCCCCTGGAAATCATTGCATTAGATAATGACATTGAAGAGGTAAACTAAAAAAAGAAGGGAAAAAGCCTTTAGCAACTTTATCTCACAGTTGACTACAGCTTACATGCAATATACTCCATACGTGTAAACACAACTATATTAATTTAAATATTTCCATTTGCTCATGTGTTTTTTTTGTTTTGTTTTTGTTTGTTTTCACATAAAACACCTTATTTCTTTGTCTTTCTCTTGTTTAACAATTTAATCATTCATTTGTTGGCTTGTTTATATTTATTCATGTGTTTTTTCCATGTTGTAGCTGGCTCCTGGTGCTAAACCTGTAGGTAAAGGGGGAGCTTTCAGATGAAGTGACACACACAGAGTGTAATGAAGGGATGTCCTGACCCAATTTTTTTTATTCCTAATCTCAGATTTAAGTTTTTTTTTTTTTACTGAGTACCAAAATGTTTTCCTCAACATTCAGGTTTTTACCATAAAATATAGCTACATTGTACAGATCTATTAACTCAAAGTATGTCAGTATTGATGTTAGGGAACCTAAATAAATTCAGTGATTTAATGTATTTGTTAGCTTTGTATTATGGCTGCAGTTTGACACTACTGTTTGGTTGAATCCATTGTAAACGTTTGATAAATTTTGTAATTCATGCTTTGAATTTCTAAACCCATGTTGCTGTGCATGATTCCACTATTACCTGAAGTGCAGGTTACACTTAGAAAATGATCAGAACAAGATAGGCATCATGCATCAAACACTGATCCATTATAAACATTGATCTGTTTTTGTAACCCCTCCATAAAATTGATTCGGGACATCCCCGCTGTTAGTGCATGCGTCACACTGCGGAAAGTACAAACGAACTGAAAGACATTCATCGCTGCAGGAGACCTTTTTAACACAGAACAAAATAAGAAATTCATAAATAAAAATGGATCAAATATTAAACAGATCTCCTGTTGTGATGCATGTGTGCATAGATTCATTTCTGATGCACTGACTTTGTAAAGTGTGTATTCTAATAATCTATTCTAGTGTGTGTGTGTGTGTTTCTATGCTCTGATTGATGTTTCTGTAGTTGTTTAAAGTCAAAACATATGCAGTTATTTTTCTTGAATAACTTTGTTTTTCACCAGTTTGATTTTCTAATGCATTTCTTGTGTGTAAAATGACTGAAATGTTTTTATTTATTTTCACATTTGTGCATGTTAGGGCTGGGCAATATATACCAAAATGAATATCTCAATCTTTTTTTTAGATAAATTGCGATATATGATATATACCTCTTTTTTTTTCTTTCCATAAAGTAATAATAAAAATATATTTCTGAGTCAAAGCATTGTCCCAGTTGTCACACAGGCAAATTTATTAACAAACAGCTTAACTGTACAAAATAAATGTCTAAAAAATAAACTATTTACATATATTAAATAATAATCCTCCCCTGCTGTGCTGCCTTCAAGATGTTAGGAAGTGTGTGTGAAGCAGCACGTGATGGGCTGTGTTTGTATTCAGTGAGGGACAAGGAAGGGCCACGTGGGAGAAAGAAGACAGCAGGCGGGTTTTCAAGTATAACACTATATCGTTTGTATCGATATAGTCTCATATCGCAAATGAAATTATCTCAATACTTTTAAAATATCGAGATATTGCCCAGCCCTAGTGCGTGTGTTTTGGGGGGTGGGGGTATTTGTGTACGTTTATCTGGCACTCTTCTGAACAGTTCCAAATCCATACACCAAGTATGATGAATGAAACCACATTGTCTCACACAGCCAAAACAAATGATCACAACCTTTAGTTCATCTTTCAAAATGTCTTTTTACTCAGTCTTTTGAGAAGATTAACAAATCAAAGCAGAGACAGAGATAACAAAATCAATAAGCCACCCAACCCTGATGTTTACCAAACTCTCTTAAGAGAAATCGTTGATGGATGGAAATCGAAGTTGACCAGCAGCAACAGATCATAATTGACTTGAGATTTATTTGTTAAAATATAAGCAATAACATTGTTTTGGTAAATTGATTTATCTGAAGTGTTTTGAAGGATTTCTTTCTTTGCTTCTTTATGGCCGACAGTAAAAACTGTACAGAATACATATATTTTCTACATATGTCATTGTTGCTTTTAATGAAGAATCAAGAAAAGGTTCTCAGCAACTTTTTGACAATATCTAATTAAAACAATATGTGGCTTAAATTACTTGTATGATATTTTACTGAAAATGGTATTTTGATAGTTCTGCTTCGTGCTTATTCTCCAACGTTTTCGGAAGGCAGCTGGAATCCCTGCAGAAGATTACTTTTTCTACTATTTGGCACATCGAAATGCTCTGATAGGTTTTCATGGCCCCACAGCTGTGGCCTTAGGGGAAAGAAATGATGAGACCCTTATGTCGCCATGGTTTCATGTTTCTTTTGGTGCATCTTTCCTTTAAAAGACGAAAGACCCTTTGGTGACGATTACCCTGAATGACTACACCCTGATCTTCAGCCTGACCCCAGCTGGGATAATCCGCTACCTGAAGCTTCTCAATCCTGTGGATCGAGAGAAGCAGATGGCCTATACTTTCACGGTGAGTCTTCAACTCAGCATCAGTGTCCTAAAAACAGCCCTTGAGGCGTATGACCAACATCTTTCATTTTCTATACCTTGGCAGAAGTCTTTAAGCAGTACATGGGAACACTTTTATAAGTGAGCAAAGCTTACGCAAGACATTTACTGTGTGGGGCTGTTTATTCCAGACCTAATTGGGATTTTTCAGTTAAGTAGTATTGAAACTAGTGATTAAATGTATCATTTATTCATTTTTAGGAAGCCAGCTAAGATATATACAACAGGACTTGTGTGAAGCTCTTTAGGCCATTAGCAAAGCTGTGCTGGATTGACTTTCCAATTTTTTTTCATGTTGTCATTCTTGCGTCTTCTTGTCCATAAAAGCAAAAAGTGCAAATCAAAGAAGCGTGCAAATAGAGAGGAAACAAACTGAAATGCAGCAAGTTGCACAAATTAACCCAGAATTTTGCTTGTGACGTTAGCAAACTTTTACTTATACTGCTATGTACTTTTGACCTTGGTTTAAATACAGACAACCATGACATGATCTTTAAGTTTTGACAAAAGCCCCCGGGGTTTTTAAGTTCTGGATGCTGGTACCATATACTTTATGTGCCAGTAAGTAGGAGCTGCTGTCAGAAGCCATATAAGTTCAGTTTACTATGAAGACAAGAACATGTGGAAAAAGCCACCTAGCCTGATTGTGTAAAAGTGTAAGAAAACTATTTTGTATATATTTTGCTCAGTGAAAGTGTATATTTTATGGTATTAAAGAGACTTGTATGCAGGTTGATGCAATATAAAAAATAAAAAAAAAACAATGTTAAAAATGTTTTGTATTGAATGCATTTTGAATTGCAGTTGATTCCAAGCTACACGATGTCTCACTAACTGTGATTTATATATGTATGATACATATGTTGTTCAGGCAGAATGGTAGGATGGAGTGGGTGGAAAATAAATTCAAGAGTGATTGTGACAAAAGGGTGGCAGCAAAGGTCAAAGAAAATGTGTACAAAACAGTGGTGGGACCAGCTTTGTTTTATGGTTTGGAGACAGTGGCACTGACAAAAAGACATGAGACCAAACCTGTAAGTAGCAGAGATTAATATGTTGAGGTTCTCCTTGGGAGTGACAAGAATGAATAGGATTAGGAATGAGATCATCAGAGGTACAGCACAGGCTGAATGATGGAGAGATAAAGTTAGAGAGACCTGACTGAGATGGTTTGGACATGCCCATAGGACGGACAGTGGTTAAATTGGTAGAAGACTGTTTGAAATGCAGCTGCCAGGAAAAAGACAAAGAGGAGATATATGGATGCAGTTAGAGAGGACATGGAGGTAGTTGGAGTGAGAACAGAGTATTCAGAGGACAGAGTGAGATAGAGGAGGATGACTTGCTGTGGCGGCTCCTGAAAAGGGAACAGCCAAAAGAAAAAGATAAGTATGTTGTTGAATCACATTGCAGCAGTTACAATTGATGAGCTGCAGCTATGTTTCCCAAATGCAACTATGCTGTTTAAAGAAATGGAAGGTTTTTTATTTTTTTTGCAAATACATGAGCGTCATGTATAAATTAAGATTCTTTTGAATTAGTGAGTACGTATTGTGTACTCTTCAGGAACTGCAGGGGCTTTCCAACAGAGATGACGAAGATCACCAAAGCTTTTGATGTACTAGAGCACATGTGCCAAATCTGGCCCTTGTTAACATCTTATCTGGCCCTCGAGATGATATTTCAAAGTTAAAATATGTATCACCTCGAGTTTTACTTAAAAACCAAGCATACTTTATTTAGTGCAGACTTCTCATGACAATTGGTCAACGTTGAAGCCAAGAAAAACGTGTTTGTATTATTCAGTAATCTTTCATTTTGATTTGTAAAGAGCAACAGATTATTTCTGACTATATCAGACTTGAGTCAATGCTGGCACTTGGTTTGAACCCATTTTAAAATGTTGGCCCCCTTTTGTAACAGAGTTTGACACCCCTGTATACAAGGTTTAATTGGCTTGATCGAAACACTTTGGACTTCAACCATTTATGAAATTACACTGTTTGTCATGTGTGTACACAGATGACCCTTTTCACTCTGTGCACACTGGTTTGCTTAGCCAATAAAGTTGTCTCTGTGGTTTGATGCATTTGAAGCTTAACCACTGCTTTGAGCCCAGACAGATTTTAAGCTCAAGATCCTTTTTGACAACACTTTACTGTAGAAGCTGTCAGTGTGGGGTGACTGCTCGCCACAACATTGCACTTATCACAGTTTAGAAGGATTGCTTCACTCAGGATTAGTTGTAAAAGAAGAACGATCTGTCATGTATTACCTGTAATTTTGTCCCAGATATCGGTTTTAATCATTGTGAACACGGAATCACACCAGAATAAAACTATTCTTGTTCCTGGGGGACTATCTTACAAATTGTTAGCGCTCCTCAGAGACCTGCTGCTAGTTTAATGTTATAAATCTGATTCTATGTTAGCCATGTTTTTAATTTTCAATATTAATATCTATTTCAATGTGTTGAACAGCAATTGTGGACCTTATTTTAAATATGTGGAGCAGTCCTTCTTACACAGAATAATAGATAAACATAAATTTGGCTGTGATATTGCATCTGTGTTCATTAGAAACTGGTTCCTAATTATTGTTTGCAGTTTGTTTATATGCTGTTTCCCGTCAAAAAATACAACGGTGAAGTTTCTTTTTAGATTTAAACTAACCAGCTGTGGGTTGTGTTTTAGCAGGGTGTTTCATTTACACAGTCTTTGTGGATTTGGCAGAACCACTATACTTCTATTTTAATTTATCCAGCTGTCTGCTCAGGCTCTGTAGCGGATTGTGTTTCATTCGAGCTTTACGCAACTGAGTGTAGCATTAAGTCTATTGATCTGGTTGTATTATTGTTTTACAATAGTGCAGCTCAAAGCCATAGTGACCGACTCGGCAGAAACACTGAAATCGATCGGGTGGCTAAAACTTTGTGAGAAAAGTGGCTCAGCACACTTTTTGTTAAGCATTATATCCTGGCGTTGTTGCAAAATCTTGAACACATGAACGACAGCATGTTTTTCAGCTAAGACAAAAACTTTTCCTCATAAGAAAACAAATATTTATTAATGTCAGATCCTGACTGGATCTTCAAAATGTTGTCATATAACTCCACTTCTAAAGTAAGTTCATTGGTGCCCAGTTCATTATCGAGCGGATTTCAAGGTTTTGGTTTTGACTTGGCGAGCTCTGCACGTGCATACACCAATTTATATCTCTGAACTTTTACATCCATACACCCCGATCAGGGCTTTGAGGTCCTGTGATCCAGACCTGCTGATTGTCCCATAGACAAAACTAAAAACTAAAATAGACAAAGCCTTTCCTTCTGTGGCTCCAAGACTCTGGAACTCTCTTCCTCAAACTCGCCGATCAGTGGACTCATTTGCTTCCTTTATAGCTAAAAACGCATCTTTTTAAATCTGCTTAATTGCTTAAATTTGTTTTGTGCTTCTGCTATTTTGTTTGTCGAAGCACTTTGTGATTTTTATCTTGAGGTGCTATATATATATTAAAAAAAAAGTTTTACTTACTTACTATTTGAAGTAAGGGCTTTATGAGATTTTACTTCCAGGCTTGTTAATGTAATGTTTACTAAATAATTGCTTTGAAGGATGTGGCATTGCTTTATAGAAGTTTTTCTTTTCTTTTCTTTGTAAAGGGCTTTAAAAATATCTTTGCACGAATACTGACTTCAAATTAAAATCATAATTATTTTCATCTTGTGTGTGGACATATACTTTGTAGTATATAAATATACACTTTTTTTCCTTTTGGCTGCTCCCTCCTTCAGGGGTTGCCACAGCAAACTAAGTCGCACGAAGACTTGGCAATTACAAAGTATGTTTACGCCGGATGCTCTTCCTGATGCAACCACAGACCACCGAGCTACCACAGCCCTGTGTAGATACTGTGTATCTAGCGTGTCCGGGGAGGGTTAAGGGCCTTGCTCAAGGGCCCAGAGCACCCGCTTCAAATGTTATCAGCCATTAAATGGCCGTTATTAGTTGTTATCATCCCCATATGTAGTGGTCAGACTGCCCCTCCTGTACCTCCTAGTGGGTTTGAAGGTACGTTGTTAGCGATGATAATAGGCTCTGTTTTTAGCTTTGTTAGCACTCATTGTAGCTTCACGTGGTTAGGTTTAGAGCAAAGGGTCTGGCGGTTAGGTTTAGGGTCTTGGTTAGGTTTAGGCACAAAGGTCAGGGGGTTAAGTTTAGGAAGTTTAGGGTTGGTCCTCTGGGTCAGGTGTAAGGTTAGGTTTAGGAAAAGTGTTACATAAGCTGAAAAAAACAACAAAAAAGACACTTCCTGGTTTACCCCCTGCGACGCTGCCTATTATCAGTAGTAATAGCGATAATAACATACCTTTAAACCTACTAGGAGGTAGGTGGGACAGTCTCACCACTACATATGGGGCTGATAACAACTAATAATGACCATTTAATGGGTTGGTAACATCCACAGCCGCTGCCCAGAGTGGGACAAATGAGGTTTTAGGCAGGTGTGGGTACTTCAAATATCCCACCCACATTTTGATGTTGTCTGTAATGGGAGTTGAACAACGTGATTTTGCAATTGTTTTATGACAGATAAGCTTTGGCCACATTAGGGTTGGAGCAGATGTGGGGGCTTCACCTTTTCTTGTAATGGTCCTGAGATTCAAACCTGCATCCTCCCAAATACAGACTCTCAGTGGTTCTTAATGAGTAGCCATATATGGCTCTGTTCATAATGGAAACACTTTTCACACGAGTGCATTTTTATTCTTTCATTCAACCTTTATTTTTACAGGCTAGTCTCATTGAGCGACGAGGACTCATTTACAAGAGGGACCTGCAGACAGAATATATAAAATATAGAATGTGGTACAGTTAGAATGTCCCTGTAAATTCTGAGGGAGGAGGGAGGATCTCCCATCCTCAGAATTGTTTCTTGCTGTTCTCACAGTTAACGTTGAGATGTCTTCTTCTTTCTTATCTTCATTTCTTCTTCTGCTCAGTCCATTTTCTTTCTCCTCTCCTAAGTCCTGCAGATCAGAGCTCTGACACACATATAAACACGTATTTTGCATGGTTTGAAAAACTGTGGTTTGTAGAAACACCTTCCCCTCTTCTTTAACATTTTTTTTTTACTTTAATGAAATGGAAAATGAGCGTACACAGATAAAAATTTTGAGTGCACTTTCACTCATCAAAGCCAATACTGTTCATGGTTGCAATAAAAAGTAACTAGTGCTTTCCTTGAACAAGCAGGTTTTGTTGCGCATCATCACTTTTTAACGGTAAAATAAGTGTCTCTCTTTCTTGTGTTTACAGATGGTGGCATCAGATGGTGTCCAGCAGAGTAGCCCAGTAACTGTCAACATCGTGGTTATTGATGCCAATGACAATACGCCGACGTTTGCCCAGGTCTCCTACAGCGTTCAAGTCTTTACAGACATGCAGCCAGGGGGCTTGGTGCTACAGGTAATCAATCCTGCGATCTTTCTCCTATGTTTCTCCTGTTTTTCAGCCTCCTGCTCCGGCGCACTGCACTGCACCTCTGTCTTTGTCCCCATCACACAGAATTTCTCTCTCAAAGGCTCTTTCATGCTCTATAAAAATAACCACAACAATCGAGTGCATTGTGTTGACAGGCAAACCGCGGGAACATTTCCCTTTTTCCATATCTGCAGTCGTAACAGTCAAGTCAGAGAAAATGTTGTTTCATCTCTCATGTCAGTGCATAGCCCTGGGTAATTCATAGTGGAGGGTATTTGTGATCAACATTTCTCATTCATTCCTTTTGCACAAAAAATATTTGCCTTAAAAGGAGGATTGTTTTCAGATTAGTTTTATTGTTTGAGGATTAGGGTCATTATTTCAATTTAATGAGTAATCAATGACTTTTAAAATATTTTAATTAAAACCAACAAAACCAAAAATCTCTATAGAAAAAGGTACTGTATAAAATATCAGTACCACTTTACAATAAAGCTCCCCTTATAGATGGTAAAAGATAATAGATAATAGTTTATAAACATGTTAGTAATTCCTTTATAAACACTTTATAAATCATTAATTGTTTATTATGTATTAATTAAGGGTGACAGAGAGACAAAACTCACCTGTTTCTTGCCAAATAGTGAGACAAATCTGTTCACCTCTATATTTCATCTAGAGATGTTATAGTAAATATTTCAGACTAAGTTCCTACCTTGTAAACACAATATGTTCTAGAATTGTTCTAGAAGGGTTCTAAAATTGTGCTGCTCAAGGTGGCTGCATGTTGGAGTAGCTCTGTTACATTAATTCTGAAATTTTGCTTTTGGAAACTTTAATTCATCTTTTTTTCTGGATGTAAATCACTTTTTTTGGATTATTGTTTCCTCTGGTATCAGATGCTGTGCAGCTGGAAGGATTTTTACTGAAACTTTTTTTTTTAGTTTTGGACATTGAAGATGCATATCCATAACAACAAGGTGGTTTTCTATAACCAGGAGCAGCTGATTAACATCTCAAAAGTTCAAATAATATCTCAACTACAGCCCCAAATCTCAAATGAGTTGAAAAGGAGGCATCGTGGATGCATTCCCATCTCCCTGCCGGCTATGCTCAAGTGTCTGACCACTGAGGCCCTGGAACTGGCAGGAAACACGGCTCGTGACAGCAGAAGGACCGGGATCATCCCCCTGCTGGCTGTCTGCGGTGACAAGGAGCTCAGCAGGCTGCTGGAAGGAGTGGCCATCGTTCTGGGAGGAGTTCAGCACGGCATTCAGGTGGTCCTGCATCCCAGGGGATCCCAAAGGCCAGCCAAGTCTGGGTGGATGGATCGTATGGCATCTGTGGCCAGTTTCTTCAGATCCACTGTGGGACGGACTGTCCTGCCTATATCCATCAATACCGATAACATGTCTTAGTGAAATGAGAATAATGAGTTACAACAACATTTAATTCCCCTTTGGGATTAATAAAGTATGTTTGACTTGAACTGAACTGAATTGAAGTATTTGTAAACCTATTTCTTTAACATATAAAATTGTGCTTTTTCACTGCATTATAAGTATCTATAACTAATATTATATCCTAAAAATAGGTTTACAAATACTGGATGTGCTTACAAGGTAGTGACTTAGAATCAGAATCAGAATAAACTTTATTGGCATTGCACCGAGATACAACGCGAATATGTACGTACAGTCATCCGAAGATGGGCGGAGTGCACGAAGATGGGCGGAGTGCACGAAGCTGCGGCTATAAATAATTAGCGCGGCCTTCTTATTCTTATTCAGAAAAGGAAAGAAAACACGAGGAGAGACGGTATAAAAAAAAGATCTCTCACACCGTGTCCGTGTCCTAGACAGGGCACAATTTGAGGCGTCAAAAAAAACCTACCGCAGCAAAGCAACATAAACAGACGTTATACATTTACATATAGGCGGTGAAAACATTGAATTTTTAAGGGAAAGTCGTAGCATAGTCCAGAGCCCCCCCCCTCCCCCCCCCCCACCACCAAAGCCATTGTCCAGATAAGAGGTGACGTTCATCTTCAGCTCAGTTGAGGTTCTGTTACATGTCAACGGCCTTGGGGAAGGGAGGGGTGAGGAAACAGTCAAAGCATCTTTGTTGTTTTCCAAACATTCCAGGAGGAGTTGAGATAAGTCCGGCATCAAGGCCACAGTTTGGGTCAGGCAGAACTCGTGAATTGTTGTTTCTGCCTTTAAAGTCTTGCTGTACATATTCTCTGATGGAACTCCAAAACAGCCGAGTTGATCCTTTACTCCAAAAGTCGAGCTCACAGCTTCTCCAGATTATTCCCACCATTCATGAGTGCTGCCAGGGAGATCACAGTCCTGATAACAGCTGCTCCAATTCCCTGTCACAGCTCCACATTCAGTCCGAGCACTGTCAAGCTTCAACACCTCCACACAAATTTGTAGACAACCAGATTTCACCAACCAAACAGTAGAATCAAGTTGTCATCATGAATCCAATTTGTTTCCTTCGAGGTAAGAGGGTCCTCCTTACCCTGACTCCTGTCGGGAGAAGTTGATCGATTTTGTTGAGAGACCAGCTGATCCATCCAATTAAGAGGTATGCAGGAAAAAAAAAGAGGCTTAAAAAGGCTTAAAAAGAGACTTTGTCTGAAATATTGAATATAACAACTCTAGATGAAATATATAGGTAAACAGATTTGGCTCACTATTTGGCAATACACTGGTCAGTTTTGTCTCTCTATCACCCTTAATTAATGCTTAATAAACCAATATTAATTATCTATAAAGTGCTTATAGAGGAATTAATAACATCTATAATATATGTATTAGCCATCTGTAAGGGGAGCCTTATTGTAAAGTGGTTTGAAAACATCTAAATGCATAAACACTTGTATAAAATATCTTTAGACTAAAAATATACAATTCCATTTTGCCATAAATGATGAGGTCAGCCATTTCTATGTCTCTGAGTTTGCAGAGGAAGGCTATATATGTTTTTTTCTCTCTCTGCTGATTTCTTCACACGGCAGAGCCTCTCCAAAAAATGTCAAATGCTGAAAAAGGTCAGTTTTAATCTGTTTAAAAAAAATGCAGCTATTTCACCCTCCCAGAAATAAGGCCAAGGGTTACAGAGTGTCTGCTATGACCGCCTAACCGATTTTATAAGCCGTTTATGAGTGCTGGAGTCCCCCTTGAGACTTCTGCAGCTCATTTGATGCTACAACATTTTACCCCAGTGTCAGTGGCATGAAAAAGGAGGTTGGGGGAACTTGGATTAAAGTTTCTAAGCCTTAAAGATATGAGGTCAACCACACCATGTGGGCCAATAATTATAAGCAGCGGGTTGCCTCAAAATAATGTAATTGAATAAACTGGAGAGTTCTTTTTTAGTTTTTCATGATGAATGTTTTTTTTCTTCTTTTCTTTGACATTGATGTTGGTCATCACTCTACAGATCTGCATTTTATTTTTCAAAGAAAACAGATTGCTCATCATTCTGCTTGACATGTTAAATGTTAAAAAGGAATCCAGACATTTCCTGTTTATAATTAATTTGTGTCTGTTTCTTTTTTGTTGTATTTTCTCAGTTAACTGCAGTTGATGCTGATGAGGGCCTGAACGGTCTGGTGACATATGAGATACTGGCTGGAGCCCAAGGAGATTTCATAATTAATAATCGCACTGGGCGCATCACCGTGGCACCTGGTGTCACATTAACCGTTGGACGATCATATGCACTTACCGTCAGGGCCTCCGATAGTGCACCAGAGACCCAGAGAAGGTAGAATAGCACTGAAGCTCACTATATGTGCAAGTTGTGTATTGCTGGAATAAGAAATTCCTTCATTTTTTGTGATCAGCTTGGTGTACAGTAAACACATTTTCAATTCAAATTTGTTCTCTCAAGTTGCACTGCTTTGAAGTGCTCAGTTTATTGTTTGCATGCCATATTTAAAATATAATTTATAACTTAACATCTGAATTATTCATAAATTTATTTTGGGAGTGCATATTACCGAAATAATATTTCTAACTGCCTGTTGTGTGTATAATCTGTTTTTCTAATGGCATTTTAAATATAAAGGTAGTCACCTTGATTTCTGTAATGTTATGTAAACAGTGAACAAAAAGCTTGAATAAAAGCACTCCTGAACAAATGAATACAATGGATATTTATTCAGTTTCACTTCTCAGTGTATAATGAGACATTTATAATGCAAATTAGGAGTCAGAAAGTAAAACTTTTTGTTCAAAGCTTGATACAGTTCAGCTTCGAAATTCAACTAATTGTGTGATATATTATCAACATTTTTGTTGTGTACATTGATCAAGTGCAACAATTTGTTTAACAGCAACTGCTATTGTCTTTATGGTTCTAAGGAGCTCCATCACTACAGTCTACATTGAGGTTTTACCTCCTAACAACCAGAGTCCCCCACGTTTCCCTCTCCTCACCTATAACCTAGAGATCAGTGAAGCCATGAGGATTGGAGCTATTCTGCTTAATCTGCAGGTGAGACACCAATATGCATGATTTTTCTTCCTTAACCAAAAGCTGCTGTAAATTAGGCAACACAACTAGCAAGTTTTTCATCACATTGAACAGTCAGTTGCATACCGTAATTTTTGCTGTATAAGTTGCAGTTTTTTGCATGAATTAGCATGACTGCGACTTACACAGAGAAGCGACTTATTTATTTTTTTCCCATATTTATAACCCAATTTTTGGCTGAGAGCTAATGATTTCATTCATTCTGACATAGACAATATTGAACACTACCATTCTCAGCCACTAGAGGGCTCTTGACTATTATGTCAAGCCAAGTGTCTCATTAATACGTTAAAATGGCTATTAATGAGACACTTGGCTTGCCATTCCAAACCACCTTCGTCTTGCTCCAGAACTCCTGGAGCAAACTTCACATCAGCTGTATTTCGCTGTGCCGCCCAGGCAAAATGCAGCTGATTTGACCATTAAAGTGCATTAGGAAAAGTTCAACTGAGGCACACCTTTGCTATAATTTTGAGCAAACAAATAATTGTTTTTAAGCATTAATCTTGTTAAATTATTGTTAAAGTCCTCCAGTGCACACTCCCACGGCCGCCGTTTGGCAGCCAATCATTTTGTGGCACAACACCGGCCCACATTTCTGGGTTGTCAACGGTGACGCGTAAGAAACGCGACACGTCGGCGGTGACACATAATAGATGCAACTTTTATGGTGAAGCCAAGTATTTATGTTTTTTCGACTTTATTGGACATATTTGGACTGATGCGACTTATACAGCAGTGCGACGTGTACGGCAGCAAGTACGGTAGTTATCGTCTCCCATTCATTTGTAACAGTGTTGTTTGGCCTTCATGTTTTTTCATTTTTCCTTCAGGCCACTGACAGAGAAAACGATCCGATCACGTATCGCATTGTGAGCGGAGACTCCCAGAAGGTTTTCAACCTCTCAGAAACGTGAGTGCAAGTTTTATGCTTCTTTCAACGCTCCGTGGCATGCAGGTCACTGATAAACACAAGGCTGTAAACATAGATATATGGTGTGGGATTGTATTTGTGTGGATGTGGTTCGGCCCACCTGTCTCCCGATGCATACTGAGCAGGGATAACCATGCATGATGAATGAGAACAGACCTCTTTACTAGACTGTATTTCAACTCAAAGAGTCTCACAAAGAAACACTTTCAATCCAGACATTTTGTTTGAAAGTCAATATTGTGATAATCAGAAAAAATTAAATAAAATGTGCATGGGTTGGTTTATCAAAGCTATATTTAAACTTTGATTTAAAAGTTGTAAAAAGCATCAATTAACAGTCGATTTTGATAAGTTTTCTTTCATGGGGTTCACTTAAGTGCAAAGGCTCTGTCAAATGATGCATAATTTTAATTTACTTTTATGAGCAGAACGCTTTAAAAAATAGAGGAGAGTATATTTTTATCCACTTAAAACTGACGATATGGACAAACATTGCAAAAAACAAAACCCGTCTTAAGGAGGAACTTTTGGACAATAGGTTTACAGTTGGGATTCTTGAAAATATGTTTATTCTTTCTTTATTTTTGACTGATTAGATACCTCAGCGTTGTCTGTGACATATGTTTTCTATAAATAATATTTTTTTTAATTAATCTGACATCAGTGATCTATTGTTATTAGTTTCAATTTGCAAGACGCAGTTTTAAAAATGACAAATTAATTTAATTATATGTGATTAAAAGACAATTAGTGTTCTGCTCAAGCATTCTTCAGCAGGAATAAAACATCATGAAAGACATTAACTTATAGCAAGAATGTAAGACCTGCTCCAAGATGACAGAGCTGATTTGTTAGAATGACTTGGAGCAAATAATCACATACTGGACATACTGTATCTTGATACCTGGAGAGGGACTTTTCTCTTCTTTCTCTTGAGCTATTTTCCCTTTTTTTGCTTTGCTGCTTTTGATATTAAGCAGGCAAATATCTTCTGGACAGAAAAACGAAGACCAATTTCACAGTCAGCATCAGCATTCAGAAAACCCACCTCCCTCCACAGCTAATACCAAGCAAGAAAAAAGGCGTAAAATATTGAAGTGGTTAGTGCCTTTTCCCATCTATCAAATAAGCAAGCAAATACTGGGAGATGAGACATAGGGACACTGAAAATGGAAACCCTGCCAGACACGTTTGTTACTAATTGATTAAAGCCTATTATGTCTGCATCCTGAATCCCTGAGCTATGAAAGGACAAGCTGTATTGCTGCACTGTGCACAAGCAAAAGAAGGGCAGACTGCTATTGTTGGTAGTGCTAATGTAATCTCTGAAACAACACATGGCAGAAATATTGCTAAAATAAATGGGCTTTTTGCTTGTTTAAGATAGACTTTCTTTTGTAAAAAGTAATTGTCACATTGCAAACCCTCAGCATTCTTTAACCACAATAACATCAAGAAGCTAATGGTATAACACGAATTCCCAACTGTGCTCTACATTCTGCTGATGAAGGTGGTATACAGCAATCTTCTTGTCATGTTTTAACCCCTAGATGTTTAAGTTTAGATGTTTTCTGGCTAAATAGGGCATTTAAAAATGAACTGGTCAAAACTACACCAAGGCGGAACCTTTTTTATTGGAAGAAGGTGCAAAAACTTCATGCATGACCAAAAAAAAAGAAGTCAGTAGTTTTATTTATTTATTTATTTATTTCATGTGCTTTTATTACATAAATGGCTTCTCAGTGAAATGTTTTTTGACTGCAGAATTTACACCACTGTTTTAAACTATTCTGGGGGAACAACAAAAACAGTTAAATTGTGTCATCTGGACCAGTTTCTTTAAGTGAGAAGCGTTTCGTCCCTCATCCAGATGACTTCCTCAGTCTGTGGCCTGCCATACAGATCTGTCTCATAGGTAGCCTTCACTGCTGTGTTTCAAGACAACCTCTTGTTGGAATCTCACAAGTAGGCTTTTAATATGTGCAAAACACACACATCCAAAACGATCAATCATCATGTACAACAATCAAATGTTTTAGGCCAGATGGCCAACTTGCTACTCACAGAAACAGCCAGAAGACAACCAAGGCTAAAGTGGTTCAGAAAAAGGGTTGTAAACTCAATCATGCAGGTAGATAACAACAAACAAGGTTAAATCGTGTCATCTGGACCAGTTTCTTTGAGTGAGGACAGGGCAGGAGCCAACAGGAGGGTGGCTTGAAACACAGCAGTGAAGGCTACTTATGGAGCAGATCTGGTTGGCAGGCCATAGACTGAGGAAGTCCTCTGGATGGGGGACAAAATATTTCTCACTTAAAGAAACAGGTCCAAATGACACGATTTAACTTTTTTTGTTGTTATCTATGTAGATGATTGAGTTTAGAACCCTTTTTTTTTAATTCTGCGGGGTAAATATAAATATGTTCCTTTAAAGGCAAAACTATTAAATGCCTATTTGATTGTTCATGCATAGCAGGATTTGTCAAAAAGAGTGCCAGAGTTCATTCAGTCTTTGGCTTTAAAGGGCCATCTTACCCTGTTGGTAGGTGTTATGTAGATGTCTTTTACTCTAACATTGTTGGGACGAAGGAGAAAACTACCAAAACATACATGGCAGGTCAACTGTGGTGAAGAGAATGTCATCTGGATGTTGGCATCCTTCATTTTGCATAGGCATAGCAAAGGATCATGATTCAAACTGAAGGTCCAAAAGGCGGGTGTATAGGTAGCCCAGCAGGTAAAACCAGAATGCATCAATTGTCCACTAAAATGTCTTACAGTCTGTTTCCTCTCTACTTTCTCATCTCCCACTAGTTTCTAACTGGGGTATACTACTCAGACCTTCTAAGACAAAATGGCCATGAGTTGTCTGTACAATGTGTCAATCTGCTGAGGGAATGCAAGAAAGAAATATGGTGTGTAAAGCAATGATTTTGCACTGTTCAACCCCCTCATCTGTCATTTTTATTACATTCATTTTTATAAATTAACTTGCAAATAATAGGCTTTAAAAGCTTCAGTCAAGCCTGCCAGTCTGGGCTTAATAACAATAAAATATATTTTGTGAAATTCTTTGTCCAGCAATGGCACAATGATATCTAATGTAATGTATTTAATATAGAGTGTTAAGTGTATTTTATCAAAAGGAATGTAGTTAACTAGGAAATAAAGTAAACCTGATTTTATTGTACAACAGGTTCTTAAAACTGGGTGAAAATGTCCAATTTCTCTTTCAAATGTATGATCTCAAAATAATAAGCGGGTCAGAAAGATTTTAGTAGTCAAGGAAAAGCATATTAGGTCAGTAAGTTGGAGATGTATAGGGACAAAACCATTTAGGTTTTAAAGTTAAGGTGTAAAATGTTAGAATCAATACGAAATGTAACAAGGCGCCAGTTAAATGAAGCAGACACAGAGGTGATGTGTTTGTGTCATTTTGGCCTTGTGATAAGTGTAAAGATGTACTGCTTTTAACCAGAAAATGAAACAAATCAGCAGATGAATAAAAAAAAATCACATAACTGTCTGAAATTGATAATTCGAGATTGTATATTTTTTATTTGAACATCAAAACCCATGTTGAAATCAAACCCTACTCTCAGATTTTTAGCAGCATGGCTGGCATTTTCACTGCTAATATTAAAAGCAAGAAGACTGAAAGAATGTGGGTTCCTTGAGAGAATAACCTCTGACTTTCTCTTATTGAATTTTAGGGGAAAATGGCTTTTTTGCGGGGCTAGTTGTCAAAAAAAAGTGCTGAGATTTGTAAGGCTGCCTTTGCTGTGGGTTTTATTGGCATGCATCACTAAGTGTTGTTGCAACAAAAAGGTAATGAACTTTATGATCCGTTAAAGCTGGGCAAAAAAATAATAAATAAATGCTTGTGAATAGGGAATAGAAGTGTGCCTAATAATGTTTCTTGTAGCCTGTCAACAGTCAGCTGAGGAGTTAAAGTTTTTCAAAGTAACAGAAAAACTTTCTATTGAACAGGGACCAAATCCTTCATTTCAACAAAAATGTAAAACAGTGCAGGGGGATGCAGTGATTGAATTTGTAAAAAGCTACACTCTGATCCAAAGAATTAAAAACACGCAGCTGTTTGCAGTCGTTGATGCTGCTGATGTGTTACTTATATGGGGATTTTGCCATAAATTGCATTTTTCATCAGCTACTCCTGAAGGGTCTATCCTGGCCCCACAAACAGCAGTCTCACAAACACGACTGTGGTAACAACAGAGCGTTGTATTTAATCTTGTTGTCTTGAGGGCTGTGGCACATTTAGTTGAAGTGGTTGTCTATTGATGCTTTAGGCCATAGAGAGTGTCATAAGGGCTTGAAAGACTACCCACATAAAGACAGAGAAGATTATTACTAACAGGTTATCATTGTGTCTCACCTCATGATGCTCCCTTAACAAAAGAAAACACCTTGCATCTTCCCTGTACATGTAAACCAAAACCATGCATCACAACATGAATGTAGATAGCATGCTGCCGTTTGAACTGCCCTTCTTACTTTTGTTCCACAACAGCAGGCCTGTCACGATAACAAATTTTGCTGGGTCATTAATTGTCTCAGAAATTATTGCGATAAACGATAATATTGTTTGGAATTTGACAATAATCAGTAATTATTGTCAAATTTAAGAAGAAGTGTTGGTTGATTTGTTTTGTGTAGTACCCTTTTTTACCACCGGATGGCAGTATAATATTGTTTGAACCCAAGTATGGATAGTGAGGAAGTGAGCAGCGTGTCTCGTTAAGAAAATGAGAGGGAGGCCCTTTGACGTGATATGGGCTGTCTCTCCTCTGTCAGTTCTCAAAATGGTGGATGTTCGGTGTGGTTTAAGCTCTTTAGAATAGCATTTTTCACACAAAGCTTTTAATTAAAAAAAATCAGTAAACAAGTTCTCAGCTTCTTCTTGAAGAGAAAAACAACATTTTTACATGAAGGCAGAATTTTCAACCGTGAATTTTGGAGCTTCGACAAGATCAAGTTTTTTGTTGTTTTTTTCCTGAGGTCGACCTGTTAGCTTAGCTCATATCTTAGCTGCTCAGGGAACACGATTTTGGACGGTTAAAAAGGATTTTAAAGAGAAAAGAGAAAGGGCGGGGTCAGTGAAGCGCTCCCGAGTTGAGCCTTTTGTCATCCAGTGTCCAGTAGGAAGAGAGACACAAAGAAACAATAAAGCTGATTAATGAAAATGAGGTCAATAATTTTAATTTATCATGCGATTAATTGATTTATTGTTTGTCGTGACAGGCCTACATAGCAGCATCACTTCTGAGTTCAAAAGTGAAGTCACTGAACCCCAACCTACAGGTCCTGCTATCATTGAGTCTTGTTGAGGGTTCCAGTTGGCAGATGACTTTTTTAACTCAAGGTGAAACTAAAACAAAACAAAAAAAAAACCTAAGGAAAAGTTCAAACTTTTTTTATTTTTTTGGTCTGGTGAAGTCCAACACAACTGTTAGTCTGGGCTATTTTATAAGAAACAACTCATTCCAGTGCTTGCACACACAAAATAAATAGTACATCTTGTGTATTTTTTATTTTTTTTTATTTTGAAAGCTTATTTGTCATAAATCAGATTATTTTTTTCTGTATTTTGTATGTTTGACAAACTGCTACAGGAGAAAACAGTGATTTCGAGACTGAAATTGAATTTCTGTTCTTTGGCTTATCTAGTCTGTCTTGCCTTAAAGTAAAACATTCATGCCACTGGGAGCTCACACCTTCTGCATCAGCTCCAATCTTGCGTAGAGGGACACGATCTGAGCAGAATGGAAGATCAACTGTTAGTGTGACGGGGGAGGATCGCCTCTGGACCACACGGCTGACACTCTAGACGAGGCTGTTAATAGTGTCCCACACATCTGACAACATCTTTTCATTTGTGGCGGCAGGGCCGAGGAGGCAGGATGCTATCGCACATGATCAGTGAACCTCTCCGATTCGAGCGCTCGAGTGTTTCCCAACACTTCTGCTGTAGCGAGCAATAAACTCTCCTGCAGGCTCAATAAGCGTCATTAATCATTCTATTGTTTTGTCATTGAAACTGTCAAGATCATTGTCATAGGACTGTAAAAACTAGTCTTCTACTATTCTTACCTCTTCATGGAAAAATGAACGTGTCCAACAGTCTGTAAGCAGGATGTACCACATTTATGGTCGAACAAGGTTGAGTCAGGTTCTCTGGACAGATTCTCCTTTGTCGAAATGTTTAGTCTTTTATCTTTACTCCTCAGACTAAAGAAGTCTTTTGGATAAAAGGAAGAACATTTCAACAAAGACGAATCCATCCAGAGGACCTGACTCAACCTTGTTAGATTTATCTACCTGGATTATCGAGCATGGATCAGGACACATTTATTGTGTTTTCGAAAAATTATTTTTTGCGATCTCCAGCCAAAAATCAACACAGACTTTGCACTATAACCTTGTGGCATGTGTTCAGAGAAACAAATAACCTTGACAGAGTTTCAGTAATTTGTCTGCCAGAGTTTAAAATGAGGCTTTGCAATATAACTGCAGAAGAAAGCAGTGGTCAGGTTTTCCTTGGACTGCTTGGCCACAAGAGCTTTAAATCAGAAATGTGAAGGAGCAAAGGGACAGCAGGGAATTGCTACGGGCATTAATTTAGCAGCGACTTCAGATGCATTCGCTTTTCCTTCCCCTTTCACTTCTGGCAGAGCCTCTCTTGAGTGCGGCGGTGAAATTGTTCCCCATGTGTTTGTGTGGCTGGACTAGCCCTCGCGTGTCTTGTGTGCAAACAAAGATAATTCAACGTTCTGCATAGGAATTCATCTCTACTTTTGTGTTTGGAACGCCAGGGCCAAATTAAACTGTGTGAACGAGCAGGAGGGCCGCTCTGTCTGCTGCAGTCATTAGAAAGAAAATAAGAAGCGTTCCCCCTGTAGCTCTTGTGTTTTGAGAACAGGAGCCTGTCTGCACACAGAAAAAGCACAGTGAAAACTCCCACCTGTTCTTCACCCTAAATTCAACCTCTTCTGTCAGAGATTATACTTTATAAAGCTGTCAGATACGGTATTAAATAAAGTCTGAGACAGACTCCTTCCCATAACAATGTATCACATCAAATACAAAGTATTTGAGTCATAGCGTGTTTTTAAAAAAAAAATTATGAATCTAGTCTTCGTATGAGATATATAAGGAATATGGGAATTAGTCAAAAATTCATGTTGATTTTTTCTGTATTAAATTAATATGAGTGTCTTTTTCTGACCTCTCTCTACAGGATTGGCCTTTTACTTTTGAGCAAACCTTTGGACAGAGAAACTACAGATCAGTACCTCCTGATTGTCACAGCTTCTGATGGACACCCTGGAGGGGTGAGGCACAATCCTTTTTAATTAGTATCTTAATTCTATTGGATTTGTGGATTAATCAAATTAAAAACAAGTTTGATTAACCTAACTCGAGTAGTTTGAAAAAGATAAAGTGTTTCTATTTAGGGAGTAATAAAATCTTGTGTTTGGCCCAATGTTTGTGGAAACCATGACGATGAAGAAAACCAACGATTGTTCAGTACACATTTTTTGACTAAACCACAGCTTTGGCGCTACATGTTTAAATCAGTTGTAGAAAGATCTTGTTATAGATGCCAGGTTTGATGTTCCTAATTATGTTCAGTTAGTGTAACAATCTGGTGTGTTTGTTTATTAGCTATTTTCCTTAATTCAAACTCGAGTATTTCTGACTCACTGAGTGTTCAGTTCTACTGGTGGAACAGGACAGGCAATTACCTTTCTCTTTTTTTTTTTTGCTAAATGTTCACACTTTTCTTTTCCAGTGGATCAGTCTGGACTTTGGCAAAGTGTTTAATTCTAAGTTTAATTTCCCTCTGAGTCCACAAATTTGTGTAAATGCTTCACTGCTTGTTTTCTACTTCCTTTAAAAAATAAAACACTAACACAATTTTAATACTATATTACAGGAGATCTCAAACTTTTTGGGTTCAGGGACCCCTCATAGGGGTGGAAAAGTTTCAGGGACCCCCTCATAACCCTCATCTTTATTAAATATATTTCTTCAATTTGTCTCTTTAATGCAATGGAAATGTTTGTCTAACATAAATACTTAAGACCTGTTCTATTAATAGTGTTAATACAATTTTTTATCATTTTAAACGGGGAGTATTTTTCATTCAAGACACACTTAATTAACTTTTTTTTTTTATTTCAACTTCCAAAAATTACCATTTTGAGAACATTAACAGTGTCAAAAATCACTTCAAAAATTAATTTAATGAACATAATAAATGCTACTTCTTCAAATTATTACAGAAAACTATTTGCATAAAACTGAACAGAATCATAACAGCAGTAGTCATACCAAGTAGCAGGGCTTAATCTGTAAACCAATTGATGCTGGAACACAAATAGTGGGTGGGGGGTCTGGGGGTCCTCCCTCAGAAAATTTTGAATAAAGTGTGATTTCCTGCATTTTAGTGTATTTTAACTGGTTGAAAAACACTAACATGCATGTAAAAAAAAATACATACACACACACATGTATCTATCTATCTATCTATCTATCTATCTATCTATCTATCTATCTAT